AGCGGAGGGGACTCTGTGAACTGACTCAGTATGTCTCAGAGTAGAGGTGACAGCCTCTCTCTCTGTGCTCCATCCCCTCAGCCCATCCCTAAGCAGAAAATGCATCCAACTGCTTTTGCAACTGTTTACTTTTCTTGCTTTGCACACAAAATTATAAGCCCTTTTGTGGGTGCTCACACAGGGTCTGACAGAAAACAGGTTCTCGGAAATGGGTGGACATGTAGATGGGTGAGTGAATGAGGTAGGGAGGGAAGGGAAAAACATCTGGTGCCGTGGTTTATTCCCCTTGGAAACAACAGTCTTGTTCCTGCAAGGGGTTTCAACAGACCAGCTGCGGGTATGCCCTGCGGGTACACCAGCCCCCAGGCTCTGGGATGCCAAACAAGTGGAACAAAACCTCAATGACTAACAAGCAAGGAACACGGCTGTCAGAGTACAGCCACTTCCCTGTTTCCTTGGCACCCAGCAAACCCTCTGACACATAAACCATTCTCACGGGACAGCACAGTAAAGAGTCAATAGGTAAACAGGTCAGTAAAGAGGCAGCAAAGACCTTCCCTCCACCACACAGACCCTTAGCGATCTACTGAGTCAGTGATGACGAGACAAAACAATTCCGATTGGAATGGAAAGGAGCATGGCCTGGGAACGTCAGAGTTTCATTCATCCATCAGATATTCACTGCACACTTACTAAGTGTCAGGCACTGTTTTGGGAAGTGGGATACAGTAAGTAGTGGATCAAAGACAAAAAAAAAATCCCTCTACACCCCAAGAAATTTACAATTTAGTTGAGGGAAATAAACAAGCAAATGAATATATAGTATGTCAGAGGGTGAGAAATCGGTGGAAAAAGTAAGGCTGCAAAGGGGGTTGGGGGTATAGTATCAGAGGAGGAGGCTGTCATTTTAAACAGGTTAACTCAGGGAAGACTGCTCGGACTAGTGACCTGAAGAAGGTGAGCGGGCAAGGTGCAGATTCCCGGGGCCACAGCAGCCAAGGAAAGGCTTTGACACCAACTGGCTGCTGCCTCATCTGAGTTGCAAAATGAGGAGCTGGGGCCCATGATGCCAAAGGTCTTTTCCACTCTCAAGCATGCCCTCTGCTCCCTGCTTCCCACCAGCCACCCAAGCTGTGCTGCACCGAATGCCTGCACTTCTCCAGGTCACCATTGTTCCTTTCACCTGGGCACCTCTCCTCCATCCTCGTGTGACTAACTCTACTGGGAGCCTTCCCTGGCTTCTGCCGCCTTCCACTCCCGGTTAGCTTGGGGGCCACAATTCTGAGTATCTATGATAAACTATACGTCCCCTCCCGCTGCTGCACCATGTACCAGACTATTATCATCGCCCGCTGCTGCTCTAGAAGGAATCCCCCAAGGGCCGTGACCATGCCTCACTAATCTCCACATCCTTATCTTGGTGCGTAAGTCACTCACTAAACATTTGCTGCATGCTGGATGAATAGGGAAGTTCTTTGAGGGCAGGGCCCACATCTGACTTATCTCAGCATCCCCAGAAGATAGCAGAGCACCTGGCACAACAGAGGAGACGCCAGGTGTGGTACGTGAATTGGTACCTGTCCTGGTGTTGGCATTTTATCCAGACAACCATGTCAGCCTCAATCCCTGACCAGGGAGGTGGAGGGCCAATCCAGATGTGGTCCTCTGGGGTTGAGGCCAGGACTCAGAGGCAGAAAGCACAGTTTATGCTTATATATGCTGTGGGGTTTTGGTTGTTGTTGTTTTTTTTTGTTTTTTTTTTTTTAGAATTTGCATTAATCTCTGAGGAGTCTAAACCTTATCCTTAAGCTTCTGTGCCCAGAGATACTTTGGTGTTTGGGGCATGGTTTTTCCAAGTTGTGCATTTTGCGAACGAATCCCGATATGGAGTGCCTTTCAAAGCCATGTAGGCTCTAGAAGTGGCTGCCGCTGGAAGCCCTGGAGCGTAGATGGCAGGTGCTTGGGGTCTGCCGCTCTCTTTGAATTTAAGGGTAATGTGGCATAAGTTTGTCCCTGATGATTTCTTATCTTTCTTTTTTTCAGCACTTTGGGAAGTTCAAACTCCTTTCAAACAGAGCTGTAGAGATTGAGAGATAAACAGACTCCGTCTGATCTCACTCTTTCATTTGACAGATGGGGAAAATGGGGTCCAGAGAGGAAAAGTGGCAACAACTCTGCCAAATACACATGCTCATCTCCACTTTACAGATGAGTAAACTGAGGCTCTAAAGCCAAGTGACCCGCTCATGGTTCTATAGCCAGTAATGGACATGGCCAGATTTGATTCCACATCAGTCTGACTCTAAAGGCAGGAGGGGGCAATGCTATGGCCAGCTGGCTCCAACGTGATTCTCCCCAACGCTCTGGGGAAGCTGTGAATCACAGGCTGCATGAACAAAAGCGCAGGGTGCAGGGGCAGGGGGGTGGGGCGGGCAGAAACTATTTGCCCAGTGCCAGCACTTCCTGAAGCCCAACATGAAAGCACTGGGGGAGGGTCTAAGGACTTCTTGGACAGGCTGCAGGATTTCCCACCTCCTCTGGCGGGAGCAAGGGTGTTCTTCAAACTTCCTTTAGAAAGTTTTGCAAATTGGACATTACAAGGGCTGGGATTTCACTGTATTATCACATAAAAACAAGCCCTGGCAAAGAGGCACTGTTTGCATTTTTTAGCTCTTATTTTCAGAGGTTGTTTTAGGGCAAGATAACCTTAGAGCTAAAAATAGAGCTCTGTGTGTGTGTGTGTGTGTGTATATATATATATGTTGTGTGTATATACGTGTGTGTGTCTGCGAGTTGTGAATATTTAACGTGTGTGTATGTCAGTTCCAAAGGTGTGGGTATGTGCATGACAGGGTGGTGGCGTTGGGGGTAATAATATGCTTAGGAGATGAAGGATTAAGAAGGCCTTCTTTTTCTCCCTCTGCCCTCCTTCCCTCTCTTTTTTCCTCCCTTACTTTCTTCCCTTCCTTCCTTTCAGCAACGTGAAGGCACTAGAATTTTTCCTCCCTCAGAGAGACGCACACAAACAAACCTTCAATCAAAATCTACTCCTCACCCGTCACCCCGTGAAGGTTTCTGGCTGTTACCACAGCTGGTAGAGAGGTGACGGTGTGGTTGGAGAGGGCAGGGGACATCTCAGTCATTAAAACAGAAGGAGAAAGGCAGGCCTCCTCCAAGTGACATTGAAATTAGGGCCAAGAGGTTATATTCTTTAAGTTTATCCTGAAGAGGTTTGTTTTTGTTTTCATTTTTTTTTTTTGTGGTGCAGTACAATGAAGAGAACATATAATGATGTTCAAATCATAAAGACTAGTGCCTTTAAATACCTTTTCCACCTCTTACTGACTGTAGAACTTTTGTGACTTCACTTTTAGATACAGGTTTGTTTGTTTGTATTTGACAATAAGATAATCAAAACACACACCTCATCAGGTAACCTGAGAAGCAAATGTTGTCACCTAATTGACCAGCACATGGAAGGCTCCCAAACTCGATAATGTCCTCACCTTTCAGGCAGCTGTCAAGGACACAGTGCCCACTGTTGGAGTCAAAATAATCCAGTATTTTTCTCTCGGAATAAAATGAAGGGACATGAAAGAAATGAACACATACCCAACTTCTCAGAGCACCTTTACAGAACACTGAAATTACATTTTTAAAATTGCTTCCAGCCCTGGGTAAAATATACACACGGAGCAGGAACCTAAATATCTTTGCTAAATTATTCTTTCGAAGAACAAAACAAAAATAACCACGCACACACACAAAAGAAGAACGAAGGGAAGTGCTATTTATGAATAAATAAAATCCATGTTTAGTGTTTTCACAGGAGGGGCCCACCTCTCAGCTCTGCGTCCTAGGCAACTGGAAGCCCAGAGGCCTCCAAACTTGGAAAAGATTAGGAAAAACCAAAACAAAACAACCTCTCTGCTGTTTTTTTCCAATTCCTAATTATGTTTTTTTAAAATACGTTGAAATCAAAATGTTCTTTTCCCAAACAGCTTACGCTGCTCTGAGCTACGTCTGACCTCGTGGCACCTTCTCACTCTGAACTCCATCAAAGCACCGAAAGCAGGAAGCGCCTTGGCACAGGGACTCGTGCAAGGGGAGAGGAAAGGCAGGGAAGCCCGCAGGTAACTGACAAAGAAAAACACAGACCAGCGCACGGTCTGCATGGCAGCTGGAGGGAGCGGGCCCTTCCCCCGCACTATCCAAGCATCTCCAGGAAGTCAGAGCAGACGCAGCCTTGGAAAGGGCAACACGGCAACCACACCACGGTTCCACCACTAGGTGAGGGACAATAAACATGCCGCTTAACCTCGCCAGGCCTTGGTCTCTGGAGCTGAGAAATGGGGACATGGATCTCATACTTCACAGTGTTGTTAAGAGGTCACATGTTCTCATGAATGCATAAGTATTTTGCAAAACTCAAAATCACTGTAAGTAGTCAGGTAGTGATAATCCCTAAAGTCCTTTCATCAGGAGAACATGAAGGAAGGCTGACTCGGTGAACACTGCAAAACATTCGATCAGAAGGCTTGGACTTGAGCAACAGTTCTGGTGCATATGTAAATTTTGGCAGTTCACTTGAATTCTCTGAGCCGCAATCTCTGAGCTTAGCAATCTTTTCCCATAATAGAGATAATATTACTTAAAAGGTACTCTAAGAATCAAGTGAGTTCATGGGTTTTCAGAAAACAGTGCTTGTACCATCAGATGTTATACAAGTGTCTTTATCACTTTATAATTTCAAAAAGGGGCCACAATCCTTATCAAGCAGCCATAGCAAATGCCATTTTTATTTGAAAACTGGGACAATTCCTGGAAAGTAAAACAACCTCTGCTAAGGCCATGGCAGAGCTCAGAATGAAACCTAACTTTTCTAGCTAACTTTTTCAAGGGTTTCACAGTGAAGTCTGTCCCTAACTAGTCTGAGGGTTATGGGATCAGAAGTTTAAGCTGGGGCTGGACCCCACTAGAATCAGAGGGAGGGTACTTACCACCAAATACAGCATAGTGTACATGGAGAAGGAGGCATGGCCAGAGAAGAAGGACTTCCTGCAAGAGCAAGAGAGGGCCATGAAAGGGCCATATTCACATCCCTGATACACACTTGTCCGTCTGTCTTCCCTCCCTAGACTGTAACCTTGAGAGCAGGCACTGTGTCTTGTTCACTTTTGCATCCGTGGTAGTAGTGCTTTGGACACATGCCTGGAACATAGCAGGCATCCATGAATTCATGAATACACAAAAGAATGAATGAATGAATGGTCTTACCAATGCTATATCGTAATTATTTATTTACATATCTGTCTCAATCGTTTGACTGTGGGCTCCTCAAAAATAGGGACTACGCCTTATTCACCCGCCTACACCAGAGCCCAGCTAGTAAGTGCTCCCCGAACTATACTGTATTAAAGGGGCGCCTGCTTTGGCCTCGGGGAGGCGTGTCTCACCTGGCTTCCTGGACTTTGCTGTCATCGCCTCTGCACCTGTAGTTCTGAATGTAGCCCTCGGAGCAGTTGATCTGGCTGAAATCGGGGTTGCAGACGCTCAAGAAGTGAGGACGCAGGCGCCCTATGGACACTTTGGCAATGTCCGTGAAAGACTGGCTGATGGCGCAGCCGAAGAGGAAGCAGCCCACCTGCTTATAGAGAGCCGCCACGTAGGGATTCTGGATCGTTGACCGGGACTTCTCCTTCAGGTAATAGATGCGGTAGAATTCCCCCGTGATGATCTGAAAGGAATCCGAGAGGGAAATCAAGACAGATGCTATAAAGGATATCTAATGACATAGGAGAATATTCAGTATTTAACTTTAGGTTATAATCTATAAAATCCCAATTTCTATTCAAGAAGTGCACAGACACAAATAGGCACAAGGGGAATGATCAAAAGTTTTAAAATGATTGCTTTATTTTTTAAAGTCCTATGTAGCCACATAAAACCTTTGTAACAGGAAAAATATACAATCAAATATATTTATATGTAGATTTTTATTTTTAAAGAAAGCGACAAATAAGATGTTAGATGTAGAAAAAAATGTTAGATGAAGAATCGTGGACATGGTTAAGGGCGGCCAGGATGTCAGGGGGTCGGACGGGTCTGAGAAAATCTTGGATTCTGGGATTTGGGCTAAAGAGTCCCCAGCAATGATCTGGCTCTACTAAGTGTCTCAGGCGTCGCGGCAACATCACGTAGTGGTGGAGGCTTCCGTGTGAAGGCGTGAATACGCCACGGCCCAGTCCTGGAGAGCCCAGGCTCGGCCACCTGGCTGCTGTCCCTCAGCAATAACCTAAACTCTCCAAGCTTCAACCTCCCTCTCTGTGAAAGGAGTCCACTCGCCTTGGCAGAGCTGTGGGTTTAAATGTGATAACCAGAATGGGAAATGACCAGGACCATAGACGTGATGCTTTTATTTTACTTTTTGGAAGTATGGTGTGATGAGTAGGACACCAGTCTAAAGACTAAGAAACTTTTCATACAATACCCTTCAGTGTTGTGAGTTCCCTCACGTCAGCCTGTGTTGTCTTCTTAGATCCTAAAGGACAGTGAATAAGTCTTGATTTTCACACCCTGTGTCTACTACTTGATGCTTAAGGGAGATTTATCACTATAAAAAAAATTTTTTTAAGCTACCAATTATTGATTACCTACTATATACCAGGCATTGCTTTTATATTCTTCATTTCATGAAATCCTCACGACAACCAAGAGATGGATACGTTGAGCCTCAGAGAGGAAGTACCTCGCCCACAACTGCCTGGCTTTGTGTTAGGAATGGGGGTCTGCTGGTGCTCTGTAAGGCCAACGCCTATGATATATGTCTCGGTAGCGGATCGATTCCACCTTAGTGATGTCCAACCACAGCCCGCTGCCCTTGTCTAAACTCCGCAGCACAGTCCTGGCCACTTCCTGGTTGCAACCGCAGCCCAAGGACAGTGATGGTCAACTCATCACTCACCACAAAAGTCCCTTTCACACTTCCTCATGGGGCAGGATGCGGAGCCACGCTTGCCCTTTCGGAGAGCAGAGAGCATGTTCACGACCACAAGGGAAGCAATAGACAGACATATCCGGACACTCCTTTGCAAAGGCTCCCGTTACTCTTTTCCAGTGGGGGAAGGCATCGAGGCTCGGGGCCTGATCAAGGTCCTCGAGGGCTCCAGAGTCTGGGGAAGGACAGCCATGTAGGACGGAAACACCAGGATGAGCAGGTGCAAGAGTGAGAACGCTACGACCACTGCCAATGTTCACACTGGGACTCTGTTTACAAATGCTTTATATCTGTGAGTGCTACACTTTGTTTTCCCAGACCTACTGAGTATGAGTCTATATCACAGGGACATGGTCTAAGGCCAGTCTAGCCAGCATCCTGGCTTAGCCAGTCCCTGAGAGAACAGAACTAATATCTGACCTTGCACAGGTGCTCAGAGACTATTGGCTGAAGGAACAAATGAATGAAAGGGAGCAGGACAGTAGTCCTCAGACTATTGCAAAACTGGAAATATCCCCTAAACATTACCAAGAGCTCTTTGATAACACGTTGTAGAGATTAAAACAAGAGAAGCATGGCAAGTCATTAATGAAAGGGACCATTATACATGGAAGCCACTTAGGTCCAAATTAACTAACATCTAAAGATTAGACCCAGGTGTACTGACTCTGCCCAGCATTCTTTCCTGCGTTCATGATCTAATTCCCCTCTTGAACCTGTTTATACTTTTACCCTATGTAACCTTTCAGGCGAACAAGTTCCAGATGTTTATTACCACAACTATGTTCTTTTACACTTTCTTATTCTTCTTTATTTATAAATCATACTCATGTGACTTATATGTAGGGCAAAGAACACTGAACCAGGAGTCAAGTGGCCAGGGTTCGAGTCCCTGCTCACTTAGTGAATCTGGAATAAGCTGGTTTTCCACTTGCAGAATGAATGCATTAGACTCCGTGATTTATTACTTCATAATTGCAATGTCATTTATTCTCAATTCTCCTGTGCTACCTCCACCACCAGCCTGCCAACCAGGCAAAGGTAATAAGCAAGAACAGAGGAAAGTTACTCCCTGGAAGATGATACCACGAGCAAGGAGCAGAACCAAGGCCCCAGGCAAAATCCTTGCCCTTGGGTTCCTCCCAAGTTCCCTGAATCACGACTAAGAAACAGACTTAGCTTGAGCATCAAGCAGCACGATTTCCTGTTTGATGCTAAGATAAAGAATGCCTGGGTTTCCATTGGAACTCTGCATCTCTTGCATGAATTTACTGATTAATCTCAGATGAGTCACCTCTCTGCTCCTGTCACTTTAGAGAGAAGGGGTTTATTACAACTCAACGACTCTTCAACTCTAACATCCCATCACTCTAAAATTTCAATTTTCAGTGTCATGGTCTTCAGAGAATAAAGTGCAAATTAAAATGCTTCTTCCTCTCATAGGAAGACAAAGAGGTAAGGAGAACATTTTACGATACCTCAAATTCCTAATAATGCAAATAATGGCAGCCATCACTTACATTTCTTTTGCACTTTAGTTTCATTTAATCTTCTCTATGAAGAAGACATGTCCATTCTACAGATGGAAATACTAAGCCTCTGGGAAGTGGTGACTTATCTGAAGGATCTGACGCTAGTAAGTGACAGAGTTAATTAACAACAAAGCCCAGGTATTCTGACTCTCACATTCAAAGACCCACAGCAGACTGCACTGAGATGATTTTATTATTTCTATATTTCCACTGTAGAATAGCAATTGCAGATTTTTAAGGAGAGGGCCAGGCTGAAGCCATTTAGCAGGCACATGACTCCAGGACCACATGGCTTCTGGGGCAGCCCTGACAGATTTTGGAGTTAATGAGCAACAAATTATGTATTTTCTCTGTCCCTTTGTACAGAAGGGTTGGGGAGTCGACAACACAGCCATAAATCATCATTATGAACCAGCCGGACTGGGCTTCTTGTAATCCTAACCCTTAAAAGGCCATTTAATGAAATTCGGGCTGTGAAAGGCAGCCGGAATACCTCACCTCTGCAGAAGAGACGAAGGCTTAAATTGTTCTCCGACACGTTGCACACCTAACTCTGGAGTCCCAGATTTACTGCTTTCGGACTTTATTCATTACTCACAATGTTTTTATTCCTGGGTAATAAAATAAGCTCTTCCCTCCCCCTTCCCCTACAAAGGCTCTGTCCCCAGCCCCAGACTCCAGGCCCCTGGAGCCCTCATTTCTGCCTCAGTCAGCAAGGTTCTGATATGTAAATTTCACTGCCCAGAAAAAATGCCTTCCATGTTGATCCCTTTCTGCAGCAGCAAGCAATAGATTCTGGGGGCGATGGCAAGCTGCCAGGCAAGCAGAGGAGAATTCTCCCCTACCTGCCTTTTAAGGCACTTGGCACAGAATCTGGAAACTAATAAAAAGGAAAAGCATTGCAATTAAGCTACAAGGGGACAGAAAAGGATCCGTCCTTGCCCACGAATGGCTGCAGTTTGGAGGGAGGTTGTCCCCAACTGCAAGAAAGCTCCTCTTCTTGTCTTTCTGGTGAAAAAGAGCTCAACTGTCCACATATTTCCATAAATATTAAACTGTTCTGGGAGAGAAAAGATGAAGAAACATTAGGATGGACTTTTGGGAAAGGACAGAGCAGGGGGTGGTGAAAGAAGCAGAAAAACCTCCGTCTGAATCTTGTCTATTACCTTAGGCAAGTGACGCCACCTTTCTGGCGTCACTTAGATGTACTCACCTATAAAATATGATTAATAATATCTACCTGGCAGGATTGCCAGGGAATTCAGTAAGGTGATATGCCAAATGCCTTGCACCCATCAGGAGAGCCCTGCAAAAGTTAAATTCTTTCCTATTTCCATAGAAGAAGGGGAAAAACAAAAACAAATAACTAACGCATACTTTGTAGAGAGTATCTCTTCCAAAATATTTTCCAACAGGGCCTTAGAAGAGAACATTCCAAATGGAAGAGTCTGGAAAGTGCCACCCCCCACCAAGAGAGAACCAGAAAATGGGTGGATGGATGATGTTGGTTTTGATCACTTTATCTAGGATGTCTTTTTCGGGGAATAAAACGGAAGAGAAGTCTAAACCCAACACAGAAAGGACAACCCTGCTGTACTGCTCTGTGTTATTTTTAACGTTCCACTCTATTATTTATAAATTATCCCAAGAAAAGTAATATTTTTGCACATAGTCTCCAAAAGGATTGATGAGACACTGAGAACTCATCTTCTTCCCCTGCTAAGTCTGAAGGACAAACTTCCCTATGTTCTGATCTGCTTTAATAGTAATATTAGCACAGACCTTGACAGCTTACAAAGCACTTTCAGATCCACCGTGCTGCGTGCCTCTCACAACACACGATGAATTCCTAAATTGTTACCTACACTTTACAAATGAGTATGGTGAAGGCCAGAGAGGCCAGTGAATCAACCTTGATCAAAAATGAGGCAATGACAAGCTTGGACCTTCTCATCCTAATTCCTGAGCCCTTCCCGATGGCATCGAGCTGGCTTTTCCTTAGAAGTCCCAGCAGGCAACAGTGTCTATGTCTCCAGCAAGACAGACATACAGAGAATACCCAGTAAGGTCCCGTGATCTTGCAAGTCCTTGCACATCTAAGTCCTTGCTAGCCACAGAGGGCCAAGTTGTTCTTTCACTTCTCAGTTATGTAGGTTGATGAACCTCTTTCTGCCCGGAAGAGATTCATTCAACAAACATTTGATGATG